GTCCCCCTACACTGCTCGAGGGGAGGAGGTGGATAAATTGGGATTGATGTTGAGCCCGGCAAGAAGGGAGGGGTGGGGGGGGGGGAAGGTGTTATTTTTTAAGATAGATCTGCTTTTATTTCTCATTACTCTTCTGTGATTTTGATTGTTAATAAATTTAAGTAATTTCCCCAAAATCGAGTCTGTTATGCACGGGATGGTAACTGCGGGTGATCTCCCTGTCCTTATCTCAAACCATGGGCCTGTTGTTACACTTTCTCTTCCCGTGTAGCTGAGAAGGGGTGACAGAGCGGCGCTGGTGAGCACCTGGCCAGCAGCCGGGGTCAAATGGCTACACCAAACCATTCCGTGACTCTATGGCAAGAGGAGGCTGAGGGGGGATCTCACCAATGCTTCTAAATATCTAAAGGGCGGGTGTCAGGGAGCTGAGGCCAGACTCTTCTCAGTGGTGCCCAGTGACGGGGCAAGGGGCAACGGGCACAAACTGGAAAACAGGAGGGTTCAAGCTAAACATGAGGAAATACTTTACTGTGGGGATGACAGAGCGCTGGCACGGGCTGCCCAGAGAGGCTGTGGAGTCTCTGTCTCCGGAGACTTTCCAAACCCGTCTAGACGTGTTCCTGTGGGATCTGCTCCAGGTGATCCTGCTCTGGCAGAGGGGCTGGACTAGATGATCTCCAGAGGTCCCTTCCAACTCCAACCATCCTGTGATCCTGCGATAATCTTTCAAGCCTGGGCGCAGCAACGCTCCTGTGCTGGGGCAGCTTCCCGGCAAGGCTCCGGCAGTCAGTGGTGCCCCTGATTAGCGCTTGCTTTGCATTTAAACCAAAGTGGCCAGGACCTGAACTCTCCAAACCTGTAACGCAGCCCCTCTGACCCTGGGAAACGTGCTACTGTGCAGCCCCTCCGTCACACCATCTTGAGAGAAAAAACAACTTTGGAACCTTCCTGTGTTCATCATTGTCGTTTATTCTTTTCCCCACCTTAGTTCAGAACTAACAAATAAGCATAATTCATTACGAAACGGCCCAAGCCAACTGTTTCCCTCCGCTGAAGGAAGTGCCCACCTGTGCAATGCACTGTATGGTCTTTAAAGAAATACATGCGTTGTAGGAACATAATCAGACAGCGATATAAAACCAGATTCATGGTTACACGAGTCTTCCATTTCAACCCAGTTCTAGGTTTCTCCATCAGCAGGCAGTACAGGAGGCAGTATCAGGAACGGTCACAGCTCGGGATAGCAGGAGAAGCACAGATTTAGTTGGGAATTTATAATCCAAGGCAGCAAAACCCACACTTGAATCAAACTAAAACAATGCTTAAAGGTAAGTTGGGCCAGTAATGTTGGACAGAAAAAACTACCCCTATAATTTTTTGTCAGAGAAAGCTGTAGTGTCGTTAGTTTTACTTTAGTAAGTATGAACAGTTTATAATTAAGTAATAAATATAGAAATAGTGCAAACTCTTGCTTTTAGCAAAACCATGAACTTGTAGCTGAACTTGCAAGCATAGTGCTGACTTTGCTACAATTTGTGTGCTGAGTGAAATGCTAAACAAAGAGCATTGTCTCAGCAGGGGGAGGATCAAGAGCCGGACAACACTGCTGCCTGCAAAAACTCGAGTTGCCCCGTTCCCTGTTGTGCGGAGATGCTCTGCTGTCCCTCGGCAGTACCTCGTGACAGACCTCTCCTCTCTTCCCTGTTTTATCATATCAAAAAATCATCTGAATTCCCAAACGCCCTCTCTCATCAAGTGGGTTAGAACAGTGTTTACCATCAGGTGCAACCACACCAAGAACACTCCGAAGGCAACGAAACAAAACAGCTTTACAGAAAACCAAGAACTGTTGACGACCGGCACCAGCAGATTCTTCAGTGTCCATAAGAAAGAGGAAATGCAGAGTTGGTATTTTCAGGTAAGAGCGGTGGGTCGCTGTGATGGGTAGCTCACGGGACGCAGGGCTGGCACGTTGGATCCCCAGCCGTGTCCCCGCTGGAGGGGTGGCAGGAGGCCCGATGCAGCAGCAGCAGCGCACAACCCCATTTCACACAGCTCACCACGTCCTAAACCCTGCCTCACACGCCCTCTTTCTGGGCACTGGGATTACGGAGTTGGAATTCTGGAGCACCAGCTTCACCTCGTAAGGAAGCCTTGGGAAACAACAACCAACTCCAGGCACGGAAAGAGCTGCTCCCCGCCTCCCCTCCCCGTGTCCTGCCGCACCAACCCCTCGCTCCACCCTCTCTCCTGAGACCTGTCTCACTTCAGAATGATCCTGCTCAGGAATCTAAACCAGGACAAACCCTTTGCCTACAAGAATCCAATTTCTGTCATTTCCCTTTTGCTAGAAGTAACACACACCTGACCCCCCAGGCCTGTGTAGGAGCACAAAGCCGCTGCAGGAACTGAGGGATCTTCAGCCGTACGTGGCACCAGCTCCCAACACCTTCTCCAGCTCCCGACAACAGACTCTCCAGGAGTCTCTTTCTTCACTTGTAAAAAAGTTGATTATTTTTTAAAAAATGCTAGAGATGTTAAATAATCCTAATCTTAAAAAAAAATACATTATTTCACTTTAAAATATGACTAGGGGGGAAAAAAAAAAAGGCAGTAAGACCCAAAGTTTACTGGTCCTTTTCAGCAACTTGTTTATCAGCTGGGACAGCAGTAACATTTCTGACTTGCGTTACAAAACAGCAACGTAGATGATAAACCCCTAATCCATCCAGTTTGAAAGCGGAGGCAGTTACTGAATTTAGGTCACATTTCGTATATATTACTACTGATTGGCAGATGATGTTTAATTCTGATGTTGTAAGATGATCCAATGCACTGACAAGCAACCCTCAACCCATCTTTATTAATAACAAGTTTCACCGGCACCTTCAGGAACAGCGAAGCAAAACTGCAAAGTACAAGCCAACTCAAAACCACCTATGAATGTCATCTCCCAAATTCTGAAACCAATAAGTTTTTCCTCGGAAAAGCTTGGGAAAAAGCCCCTCTAGGTGTGGACAGGTCGCAGTTAAAGTAAGCGGCCTGTTGTTCCAGGGAAGACACCAGAAGTGCCTCATACCTAAATTAATCCAGTGGAGATGATCTCCCTAGGACTAAGAGACACATCCACCTTCGACCATAGATCTCCGATATATTCCTAACAGCCTTCTTGTGCTTACACAGAGGTGAAAGAGGAAGACTTTCACTGAGACGTACTTTTCCTCCCGAAACACACGGTAGCAAAAGATCCACAGCCCCCTCTGGAGTTTGGGACATCAAGCTCAGGATGCGACACTTCAAATGAGCGACAAGGCAAGAAACACAGAATGGAAAAGAAAATCACGTACCTTTCAAAGGCATTTTTAATAACTTTTATATTTAATAACCCTTTAAATCATGATGTATCATATACACCCAACAACGCCCAGGAGCCCTCCCTCTAGCGCACAGTCCGCTCGCCGTACATCACTAAGGCACTCAGGAGGGAAGGAGTTTCTGGTAAATGCAACGGGAATGTTTCCACTACACAGCATCAGTAATAAACTTCTGCAGCTGCTCTTCCGCGGGATTTAGCTCGATTGAGGTGACAGCAAGTCATTCGCCAACTCGCTGGAAATTTGGCAAGTTTGTCGCCAGCAAATCACTTTCAAAGGCACTGATAATCTCTCCTTGCCCCGAGCTGAGAGTAGTCACATTCTCGCTTTTCCACTGATCTTGAATTTGAACGCTCAAATATTAGCGACACAGAGGAACCAACACTGTCAATTCATTCCCTCCAAGTAACAACGGCCTCCCGAAGGCCTGCGTCGCCCTCTCTTTGGAAGCCCATCTCTTGGGTGCCAGCAGCTACACGACCCACTTTACATCTTCAGGACTTAAGGCTCAGAGGATTGTGCGTTACACTCAAGTCCTACCTTACAGCAATTTCTCGCCAAGAAAGTACCTTGGATGTAAATCAAAATGCTTTGAAACAGCGGCAATAAATTAAACAAATGTGATTTGTTTATAAAAATATTTTCTTATAAATCTTTAAAGCTTATAAAAGCCAGAAAATACATCTAAAAGAACCTCTGAAACGCTTCATCCTTTGAGGTGTGGTTACAGTTCAGAAAGCCCACGGACGTTTTACATTTATCTTCCCACAAGGAATTCCTTAGCACAACACGCTTAAACCCCTGAGTCAAAACGCCTTTGACACCCTTCCCCGGGTCAACTCCCCGTGCCAGATCATTTCTGTTTCAAAACAAAGAGCCGGAACTTAGCTGACAACGCTGCTGTTCGACGGACACGGCACAAAGAGCTGTTCCAGAGTTACTAAATGGAAGTTGGGACGCTGGTTACACCAGCAGCCGTGACTCTGCAGCCAGAGCCTGGGGATACGTAGGTGGTGCGTAGGTGCTGGGTTGTAGCTACGACTTTCTGAACTGACGTTTTTCGTATGAGGAGGACGAGTGGTATCACATACAAACATACCACCTGCTCAGCCACCCGTTTTTCTCAGCGACATGGCACTTAAAAATACCTATATTCCTGTGTATTGATTATGGGAGATGTCTTTGTAATAAAACTAAAATGACCTTGCTAGTCCAGTCACATTCGAACGGCATCAATTGGTCCTCTTGCACTTCCACGAAGACTGTCCTTCGTCCTGCAGCTTTTTCAGTTTTGGCCCGAGTAGGAACCACCAGCCGAACCCCAGAATGACACAGACGACCGACTCCACGTAGTAACCGTCCAAGGTGGTGACGCAGGAGCCACCAGCTTTTGTGCAGAGCTGAAACAGAAGTTGACGTGTTCAGTGTTTTCCGGGAGATACAGACACGCAGACTTTTTGAGAGTTGGCTTTAGACAGCCACAAGTTTTCTACTTGCTCATGGTTGTGACTAAACCCATTTGTTGACCCTTCCCTGTTTCTTACAGAGTAGTAAGAGAGGCTTTCAAGCTTACCATCAGGATGAAAAGTAACGGAACTGCTACAAAATGTTTGGGAAATGGAGCATATTGGCCCGAGGGGCTAACTCCGGAAAACAGGGACCGTCCAGCTGTCTCACGCTGGGCTAGACAGGCAAGCACTGTCCTTCATCTCATGAAGAAAGACTTCTGACTATTTTTCTAGCATCCAGATTGCTGCTTCCGAAATTATTACCCTTGTGTCTCGCCACACTGAATCTGCAAATGGACAGTGCCAAATGCAGCGTATTTCTGGGAAAAACGTGTCCAGGATGTTTTTTTAGTCATATAACTGCAAGACAAAAACTCCAGCATTTAAAGGAGAAGTACTTAGCACACAATCTTTTCTGCTATTGTTCGGATTTCAGTACCACTGTAATTCCAAGATAAATCAATCCTTTGAGTTGAGGTTCTGGCAGTGTTTTCATTATTCTGAGACATGTCAGGATCAGACTAGGAATAAGAAGGGAGTGGTGGAACATTACCAGCTGGGAGGATGTGAAAAAAGATCAGAGGAGTGAGGTGGAGGAGGAAGGACTTCAGCTGAAGAGAGGACCAGGGAACTGAACTAGCAGCAGGCCAGCGAGGGACAGGCTGGAAAAGCTCACACTGCAGGAGCAGTTCCCCCTCTGCAACCAGGAAAAACTGCAATTCCAGTTCAAACAGGTCACATTTGCCTCCTAGAACACTACATTTCCTGAAGAGTCCTGGCATTCAACACTGAAATAAATCTCACTGATGACTAAGAAAAGAAAAAAAACAAGAACTTTCCTCCTGCCCCAAACATTTCTACCCTTCCTAACAGTCACGTTGAAGTGTCTCATTTGCTCCCGAGGAGGTGAATTTGAAACCTTGCTTTCCAGGCAGTTCTGCTGTTTGATCTGCGTGCGGCGGCACAGCAGGTTCTTTGTTCTCTTCCCCAGGCTCCCTGGCTCTGCGAAGGCAGTCAGTCACACCGCTTGGTTTCACGTGGAGAGATCAAAGAGAGCAGAGTAACATCACGGGGGAAGCCATCCAGGTACCCAGATAGGAAGTCTCCGAGAACAACAGAAGAAAGAAGACCCTAGCACAACACTCAGGGGACCTGGGGGACAGCCAGCCTGGCGAGAATAGAGCGACTAACCACACAACACTGAACTCGGCGAGCTTCACCCTCAGAAAAGCAACTACAGCCTCCTTACGGCGCAGAGACTGTGGCACCAACCTAGTGCTTCCAGCAACAGCTTTTCACCCCGGCCCAGAAATAACTGGGCAGTTACTCCACAACTGCAGACCTCTGGTAAGGTGTTAGTTATTAGGAGTGTACAGATAAGCACAAGCTACCAACTACAAAGGTTTTCAAAGGCAAAAAAACAGGAAGAGAAGCAATTTCCTCGAGAAGGACTTGAACAGAGACCTCTGCAGCCTCCAGAACTTACCTCTGCAGCAAGTGTAGTTCCACAGGTCTGACCCTGCGCCCCTGCACACTCCTTCACCGTGAGGGGGTCCACAAGCCAGAGCGCAACGGTGGAAGGCCAGTTCCCTCCCAGGTTTGACACGGTGTTGAGGAGTGTCATGTAGGTTCCCCCGATCAGCGGATCGCTGACTTTGGCGTTGAAAGCCATTATTGCGACGTACATGCTGTACAGCGTGATCTGTAGCAGGGGTAAGAAAACACTCGAGACGGTAAGGTCTCCCCAGTTGCAGGCAATGACAACTAAAAACCCTAACACAAAAACCGTCACAAGACATGACTTGAAGTTAGCAACACCGACTGAAGAACAATCCCCACGGCTTAAAATTACACAGGAGAGAAATTCCTCCTGCGGTCTGTCTCTCTAGCCATGACAAGAAGCAGCCCTGCACTTGTTTCGAGTCATGCTGAAGCAGAGCCAGCCTCACACGCACCAGAACAACTCAGGTTATCAAACCAACTATGAAGTGGCCAGCTAAACCAGCATACATATAAAAGAACAACTGCTGCATTTAAAATCAACTCTCAAGGCATCACACGCATTTTTGTTCAGATCCAAAGCCCAGTCTGTATCAGGAGTTGGTTTTCCAGGCCTTCAGATGAGATCCATTACGATGCTCCTCCAAGATCAATAAAGTATTTTTTTCTAGGACCAGGCTCACGTAACTTTATGGATCTGCACAAGAAGCACTATCATTATCATGCCTGTGACACGCAGCCAGAACGCTGGGATTTCTTCAACTCCACCACACTTTTGAGTTTCTGGGTTTTGCGGGGAAACAAAATTAAAAAACTCTGTGAAGCAAAATACCCTGCAGTCCCCCTCCCCTTCCCCCACACAGCGTACGTTACCTGATGTAAAGCATAGCTCAGCAATACTACGGCGTAGTAGTAGACAGGAAATCCTCCTTCGTGTTTTACTTTAGGAGCCCACCACACCAAAAAAGCAAATTCCAGACCAAGCAGTAATCTGGAGGAATAAGAAAGATAAATCACAACTCAAGTAGTTCTTCCCATGTTTTTTCTTGATACAAAGTAACCATCAAACATTTATACCTACAGAACACATTAGGTGATATCCAAATAGTTACAATTATTTCTATTTTAGATAGAATTAAATATTAAACATTTGACAGGCACTGAATTTGTAAACACATTATACCTAGACACTTCTGTCTTCCGTATCAACATAATTCACTGCCAGGTCTCCTGTACCAGCTTCCTCCCCTTCTCCTTCACACAGAATTTTATTTTTGTAGGAAGCGACACACAAGATATCCAACCAAACGCAGCCAGAGCAAGACCTACGCTTCTCTTTTTTTTCCCCCTTTTCTCCTTTTTGGGTGAAAACATACAGTTCTATAAAAACATGACCTGTTACAAACATGTTACACGATTGACTTAGGAACAGCGTTGGGTAATTTGCTGGATTTATTTGGTTTAGAATTCCATAAGCAAACTCCCACATAAAACAACACAGAAATTAAATGTTTCCTCATCTGCCCCAGCCTCACTCAGTGGCTTGTCCTGCCCATCTCCCAGCGAGGCACACATCCAGGAGATGAACCAAGAGACTTGTCACCGCGTTCAGCCGCTCATGCACAAGAACTGCGCGCCGTGCTACCAAAACGCTGTCCAAATCCAGGCTGAGCAATTCATGAATAAGGAACGATTGACACCCAACAGGAGTAGGAGAGCACTGCTCCAGGGCTGCTGACCCCGCATCTTAAAACCACCTCGCACTCTGCCTTCTCACATGCGATACTATCCGAGCCATCTTCAAGGCACAAGACACAGAGTTCAACTCACTAGGAGAATTCTGACATACGTTCTTGTATCTGAAAGTCAGAGTTACACAAGAAATCCTGTACTTGATCCGAGTATGCAAATTACTGCGTTTCTGTAAAACGAGATACTTTTTTTTACCTGAAAGGCATAGCTTTGTAAAATGTGTTCAGTGGCTGAGGGCCCGCTGTGTATTTGCTGATAATCAGAGGCAATATTATCTGCAGAGGAACCATCGGAACCGCTAGCAGAGCTAAGTGCTCTTTCGGGACTCCCTCTTCCACCAGTTTGAGCCCTGTTACAGCATCTGCTGCTGAAAATCCAACCTGCAATATAAACCAGACCAGCAAAGTGGTGAGAGTTTGGCTGGAAATTCAGTTTGCTCAGTATGAAGTAAATGGAGAAACACGACAGAGCACAAGTTGTTTCTGTCTCTGATTTGGTTCCCATTAAGCTCTGAGACACGTTCTACACTTGCACGCTCTCCTGTCACCTGTGCCAAACCTACACTGAGAACACACAACGCAGCAGTGACATTCAGGTTGGAACAGACCCCTGGGATCATCGAGCCCAACATGAACCCTACTCTACAGAGCTCAGCCCTAACCCATCTGCCCCAACTCCCCATCTCAACGGCCTTTCAACACCTCCAGGGATGGAGACCCCATCCCTCCCTGGGCAGCCTGTGCCAAGCTCTGACTACTCTCACTGGGAAAAAATTTCTCCTACTGTCTGGTCTAACCCTCTCCTGTTGCTGTTTGCAGCCGTTCCCTCTTTTTCTATCGCTACTTACCCGTGAGAAGAGACCAGCCCCAACCTCTCTGCAACATCCTTTCAAGCGGTTGTAGAGAGCGATGAGGTCTCAGCCTCCTCTTCAACCTCAACAGCCCCAGCTCCTTCGTAGGATTTACTCTCCAGGCCCTTCCCCAGCTCTGTTGCCCTCCCCTGCACTCGCTCCAGCCACGGAAACATCGCTTGTACAGGGTTGCAGATTCCAGGAACAGTATTTAGGTTAAGAGAAGTGTTTTCTGTCTGTCTAACTGCAGACTACACAAGCAGCCCAAACTGTTTAAAAAAATGCTTAAAAGCTTGCAACCAGTGCTCCTGGAAACACAAAAGCTCAAATGAAGGTCTTCTTTTGTCTAACCCTGCTCGGCACGATGACATAAGCAATTCTGTCTCAAATGTCATGGGAATGTTCAGAGCTCTGATGACAACCACCAGCAACACCAAGAAGTCAGTGACATCACCCAGACTCCGGAGCCTTTCAGACTCCGACATCATCGGCATCTAACAATCCCTGCGTGTATTTACTTACTTTTGCTGTGAGAATGAGGAGGCAGAAAGTAAGAACTGCTGGCATCTTGATTATTGAGAATAGCAGCCTGTACGTATCCGTGATGCCGTTTGTTTCTTCTTTTGTTGGTGTCAGTTCCTTGTTTTCTTTTTTCAAAAGGGCAACCAGGGTAGTGGTAATTAAAAACACAGCTCCCCAGAAAAACAGGAAATCTGGAAGGGGGAAAAAAAAAAAAAGAAACAAACCTTTTGAGCAGCAATGATCAACACTTCACCGAGTATTTAAAATGCAGTTATTTCATAAAAATACCAACCTAATCACCGAAAGTCCATAAAAAACATTACTCCTTGACCCTCCTAAAACCAAGCAGGAGCAGCAAACCACAAACACAAGCTACACAGAGGAACTGACATCGCTCTTCCCTGCCCTGCTCTAACTCTCTGCCCACGGTTCCTTGCGAGCTGAGGCAGAGGAGCAGCAGCAAACGGGGTCACTTCGCTCATGCTCCGCGCGCTGTGCCGCAACGAACGTGTTGGAGGAGAAACAGAAATAAAAAGTTTGAAGGAAAACCCATAAAGGAAGGAAAAGCCACATGTAATGGTTACACGATGGGGAAAAGACATCAGAGGAAGAAGTCATTCACAGCTCTCCAGCTGATTCACTGCGTAGTCATCTAACTGTTCGGTGCCTCAATTCTATAGTCCCTCTTTAATATTTATCTACCCTCTGAAGGAAACATTCACATTTATGCTGGCCTGATGAAAGTTCTTACACAGTCACAGAGTCACTGTTTTAAGTGCATGTTATACCTGCTACCTTCTAAATGCTCTGTTTTAAGCGGATATAATCTTTGCAAAATTATGGATTTGAAGGCAGCAGCAGTAAAACCACACCGATATTTTACGTAAGTGCTTTTTGAGTTAGTGAATGGATTAATCTAAAATAATCCCATCCTCTACCTTTACAAAAAGGCAAGAAAGAACTTGGCAACATGCAGAGAGTAAGACAGAAGTAGCCTTTCATCTTCCTGGTCACGAGCAACTCCAGAAGCCTCACGGTGACATGAAAGCGAGCAGCGAGGGCTGGTGAAAGGGCAAAGGCAGCGCTGAGGTTTAGTCAATTATTAGCTGCTTCAGGCTAACAGAAAAAAATAAAGGTATTCCAAATCCTTTTCTGCTGCTTCCCCGCCAGCTACTTTTCCCTTCCCTAAATTAAAGAAGATCTCACAACCAATGCCATCAGATGGCTCTCAGTTAAAAAAAAGTAGCCGGAACATATTTTTTAAGCAATAGACGAATTTTCAGAGTCGTGCTAATGGCAGCTACTGTCTAGAGAAGGCAGACAGGAGGGAGTTCTCTAATAATAGCACTGAGCATTATCACCGCAGCGAGAGACCTACAGTGCGAGGACGGGGATAGGAATAGCTTTGAGCATCATCACATGAATACTCTTGATCAGGTCAGCCCTGGCAGCTGCAGCACAGCGATGCAACGCCTGGATTAGCAACAAAACAAAACAAAAGCAGCTATATGCAACAGTCCAGACAAAAAACATTTTTGGGGCCACAGCCGGCTTACACCAAATAATACACATATCCTTCCAAAGGCAGTAGAGTCCACTAACAGGCTACAAGCTAAAGAACTTCAAAATTATGGTACACACAAAGAATTTCCAGCACAAAGTTTCTGGTGCCACCACTGCTGTGTCCTCCCATCCCTATTTCACCTCTGCCTCTACGCTGTTACCAACAAAATAAACCCCTGTGTCAGGGCAAAGCAAACCTTCGAACTAGACCAGGGAAGGGCCAGGCCGGGAAATGACCATCAGCAAGGTGTGGGGGGGCAGGAGGTCCATCGCAGCAGCTTTGGGCCATTCTACAGCTCCACGTCTCCTCCCAGGAAAAATGCTGACCTGTACTTGCCCCGGCATCGGCACTTGGCCTACGACAACAGCGTTCAGACACTTGAACCCGCAGGAAACCATTCACCTTCTCCAACGGTGAAGTTTTCTCCTGCTTTAACTGCCCAAACCCCCGTCACAACCGGTCCTGCTGCTCCGCAGCTGCTTTAGGAGAAACGTGGATACAGCAAACTGAGGCATACCAGCACGTGGACACGGCAACAGAGACTTCTTGCAGCTGGTTTTACCACCCAAAAAGACATATCCTGCAACTACAGTGTCAAGAGTCACTTGTTTTTCTTACTCCACCCGGGTCAGTACTCCAGGACAAGTTAAACAGGTTGTGTTGGCATTTATTAGTTTGGTGATATTTTTTTAAATTTATTTTAAGGACATCCTTTTTGTTATGGTAATAAACCCATTTATACAAACAGGACTGAGGAAAAAAAACCCAAACCAAACAAGAAACCTGGACGGTGGAGGTAAGAACAGACTAAGCAAGATCTCTCAACTACACGAGCAATTTCTAAGTTGCATCAGCAGTGGAAGATGTCAGCCTGCCGCTGCAGCGAGAGGGAAGAGACACTCCAGCACTGATGAGCTACACAGGAAGGGGAAAACAAAGGAAAGCGAAAAAACCAAGGGAATTACTTTGAGGACTACTCTATGCTTGTTGACACACAGAGCAGGCGTAGAAAAGAGCCAGACTAGTGAGCAATGCTGACAGCTGCAGAGACCAGGTAGGGCAGTCTGGGAAAGTGATATCCTGATTTATCAATAAGATAGGTACAGGATAGAAAGCGAAAACTAGCCTTTAAACAACAATTCAACTCAGTTTCAGCATACCTTTTCTCTTAGATGACACGGGCAGAGCAATCAGTGTAAGAGAGGGAAAAGAAACTAAAAACCATGAGAATTTGCTCTTCGATGCTAGCCACGGTCACTGAGACTCCAACAAGAAGCGGTGTCAGTTTGTCCTGTCCTCCAATAAGCTGAGCTAGCTAAACTCAACCTTGCAGCCAAAACATCTGCATTTTAAGCACCTTCTAGGTAATACACCTAGCGCCAACCACTACATATAACACTTTCTGAAAAAAATAAACCAAACCCAAACAACCCAAAGACCACCAAACAGAAGGCATCCCTACACCAGCAGCTAGTAATGGTCAGATTGAGTCCCTTTAGTCCATTAAAGAGAAAACAAAGCCCCACTTAATTTATTAAAATAAGGTCTTCCTTCAGAACCTGGCTGCACAGTCAACCCTCAACACTTGTCGTTCCTACTTCTGTGAAGACCACCCTCTTGGAAGAGTCAATTTTTTAAAAAAAAACCTTCCCCTTTCCTTCCTCCCAGAAGGAGACGTTCTTAAAAGGCCTCCTTGAAAAGAGACCAAGCTTTTGATTCCTCCAGGCTGTTTTGAAAAATGTTAATCTATTCCACGGTCATTAAACCGGGGGAGAGGGGAAAGGGGCAATTATCTCCAAAGTCAGGCAAAATGATGACAAGGCACGCTTCCTCGACTCGTAAGCCCAAAGAGCCTGGAAGTTCAGAAGCACCAGACTCCGCCAGCCTCTGGGCAGGCCGTGCTTTCTCACGGGGAGGGGACAAACCAAACCTGCTCGGTTCCCAGGGCCAAAGCACCACCTGCTCCGAACGGAGCTGTTGGTCCAGGCCCGGGGAAGAAGCGTCGCCACCCCAGCATCCGC